CTTACCAAGAAGAGAGAATTGTAACATTGAATTGGAATCTCCCTATAGGGTAGCGTTTATACATAGCGCATTCATTATTTGTAAATACAACCAAAACTAAATAAGTGCCAGCATTCATATACGTTAACATACTCAATATTATTTAGATCCAATACTTGACGCATTTTACTTAATGCATATAGCAATAAGGTATTAAAATTGTCGGTTTTTGTATTATTAGTTGCTACATATAAAAGAGGAACCTATCAATTTATGTAAATAATAACGAAGATAAAAAGCAAATCTTAATAAAGTAATATATACCGAACTCTATTGCCAAGCTAACTGTCACCATTTCAACATCATACGCATCCTGACTGCAAGTAAAAAATCAAAAGGTAAACACGGAAAGAAAACTGACGCGTAAATCATTTTAATATTTATCCGAGAATTACCAAATATAAAATAATTTACCCTAATCTCGGGGACTCACCCAGAATTCGTACACGGTAATTTTTGTGATGCTATAATGGATTCCCAACTTTCTCGGTCTTCCAACGGAATCGGTTTGTCCGAGCATAGATCCTTCAATATCTTATATTGCGCCGCCGTGAAAAAGGTTATTTCCGAAAGCGATTTACGCTCAATGAATTCTCTATGAGCTGATAAAGAGAAATTTGAACGCCGAGGCGTATTTGTTGAGCTGATGCTTTTACCACTTGATTGGTTAATGGTTGGTGTTGTTGGTGAAGTAACACTTGGAAGTGGGAAAATTAGTTCCGAATGTTCAGCATTTGGCGGCGTGATTTCCAGTAAAACCGGAGTTTTACGATTTTGTAAGGTCCTTGAAGATGATTTGGTCGAATTAGATTGATGAGTAGGCGCAGGTTTTAGAGTTTGTGATTGTGCAAAAGGAAAAGAGACAGAAGGAGGAACTTGATATAATTGCGGGGGACGCGCAACTGAGGCTGATTGACCAGTTGTAGTAGACATTTTAATGTAAATCGCCAGCGATGGAGTTGAAGCAAAAAGTGTTATCCGTGAGCGAATTAGTATTTGGATCCGATTTTACGTTTTAAATCGGTTTCGAATTGTTTATTAGGCCCGGCCACAAAATTATTCAGTGATTGATGGAATACATATCCGGTTTGTGAAACAATTAAACAATGATCACTGTTGATCATTTTACATTCGCATCAATCTTTTTAAAGGCACGAAAAAAAAATCAAACTATTTAACAATTTTGAATTTTCAAAAATACGACCAATATGGCCACAAAAACCTCAAAAAACACAGAAAAATCCAAAAAACAAAATGAATCACCACATATACAACCTTCCGAAAAGAAAAAACGCGTCGATAATTGGCTTTTCCAGGATCTCACGATTACCTTCCAACCTATTACCATATTAACCTTTCTCGCGCTTTTCGTATCAAGCTTTATAGCTTGGGACCATCACACGCGACTAACCCTTTGCGAAATTACCCATGGTGAATATAATAATGATCGAATACAGTGGATAGAAATCAATAATCCTATCTCTTTAAACTATACCTTATATGAAAATGGTGCATTTGTCTTTAAACACATATTCTTAGAGGACTTTAAAGAGGAGTTTGACGTGGAACCATTATACTTTCCGGTATGTTCAATGTCTTTTATATTAGGTAGGCTAAAGTCATAGTGAAGAGTTTTAATGTTCTCAATTTAGGAATATGAACCGCAAGTAACCGAATTACTGGCGAATTTTGACTTGCAAAAAGTTCTACGCGAAAATGAAACGGAATTGGACAAAGACTTACTGGAAAATGTCTATGCCGATACGAAAGCATATGCACAATCTGTTGAAGATATTGAGAACAAAGTAAAAAACGGAACATACATTGATGATGGACGCGTCTATGCACGTTGGGTAAATGATCAATTGAGGTACGGAATGTTTGCAGGTCGCGATATTGACAAAGGGGAATTACTCGGACTTTATACCGGTATTTATTGTTGCTTTGAGCTTTTTTTTAGTGCAACATATTTATATCAATTATTATTTTTTTATTCAATGATTAGGCGTTTATTCCACCAGTATTTATGACGTTGAATATGGTATTTATAATAAAATCATTTTTAATTCGCGCTTGTTTTTCTTCGCACGTGAATACTGTATTCAATATTGTGTTAGCATGGGAATATAATTTCCTCGTAAAGGTTACCGATGAAAACGATGAAGTTATTCGAGTGTTTATCGACGGAAAACACAAAGGAAATTATATGCGTTTTGCAAATCATCGTGATGGTAATACCCTTAAATTTATTCTTATTCACGTACATGATTGATGATATTTATTGTATTTGTATATGCTCAGAAAATCAAAATGCCGAGAGTACATATATAATTCACAAGAATCAGTGGATGGTGATCTATGTCGCGCGAACAAATATAAAGGTTAGTTTTAATTATTATAAGCAGTCTTTTGATTTAGAATATTAAATCCATTTTTGTTTTAATTTTTTAATTAGGCTCATGAACAAATTTTTGTAAATTATGGTACCGCATATTGGAAGGATAAAGAAAAAATTGAAATTTGATGAAAAAACGAGACTTTCCTTATACTAATTTATTTTTTAGATCTAATATAATAAAAATTTAACTTTGTAATAGATGAATAATTTTTTATTTATATAAAATATATATTTGTTAGATATAATACTTGTGCTCAAATTAGGGAAAAAAATTCAAGAATTTTATTTGAATGTAATTGAAATATTTTTCATGAAAAATTTGGAATAATCTCAAAAAAATAAAATAATATACAGTTTAATATATTTTATAATATTTTAATGGCCAATTATATATAAGACATGTTGCAATAAAATCAGACAAAGTGAATATAGTAAGTAAATCAAACTAGTAAAAAAATATAACATCATTCTTACTTTATTTCTTCTTATTTTTTTTGTACTTACAGTAATGACCAAAAATAATGACTCAGAAACTAAATTTATTAATAAAATATAGTGAAAATTGAAATTTTCTCTCTATATTAAAATTTATAATTTTATTAAGAAA